CACTCTCAGATAATCTTGATGATGATCTTATAATAATTAAGTCATAATTGACTATTAGTTTTAGAGAATCATCTTTTGAGTCGATTCCGAATCCCACTGGGTTCAGTCCGGAAGCAAATCGACAGGTTCTATTCACACTGCGTCGGAAAGATATATTCATAAACATATTAATTGATCTCTCAGCAGGTTATCGAATAACGACTTCTCGCAATCTTATCTTTAAAAAAAAAGACATCCGAACATGTGTTCAGTTTAGTATGTTCAATTGAGTCGGCTATATGCACTTGTATGAACAAAAAAAAAACGATAAATGAATGCTTAGCAAATAGATCAAAAACAAATCTAGAACGGGACAGATTTTATTTTATTTACTTGAGCTAGAATAATTTTTTTTTTAGATATGTAATCAAGCATTACAAATGCATGGTGGTTATGGATATATAAAATCAACATCCGTTCAACAATATATGCGTGATTGTCGTGTTCATCAAATTCTTGAAGGTTAATTAAAATATCAAAATTTATGATTTAATCATTTTTTATTCTTTTTCTTTTTCATAGGCACAAATGAAGTGATGCGTTTAATAATTTCTCGAGATGCATTAAAACGATATGGATAATAATTATCTATTTTCTTTTTGTTTTTTGCTTACTATGTGACATTATTATAATAGAATGAAACAAAGAAATATTTAAACTGAAATAGTGTAGTTTAATTTTTCTTTTGAATTCTTCCTAAACATCGAATAGTTCACAATAAAAACAACTATTTATTTGTCTTTATTAAATAACTCTTTTTCTATCGATATCTTTGCAAAGTTTATAAATGATGGTCTACTCAAATAGAAAATTTTTTTAGAAAAGGTATATGCATTGGTACAAACAAATCAAATAGTAAAAAAAACGATGAAAGCAGACAAAGAAGATCGGAATTTCAAAAATTAAAACTATCAGTCGATTAGGAAAAAAAGAATACAAAAAAATGATCGAATCCTTGCAACAAAAGATTTAATAGAATTATTCAACTTCAAGTCGAGATAACATCTTTATTTTGATTACAAATATTGAAAATTTTATAATGAATGAATAAAATAAAACCTTGAAATTTTCTTTTATTGTCTCATTTCTCTAATCGGTATGGAATACAACGGATTATTTGTTTTATTCTTCAGCTATTTACTAAGATTTTAAACCCTCTTAATCTTTAATCTTTACCAATGTTTATGGATTTGATGATATATTTGGGATGAAATTAACAAAAAAAGAAACAGATGTCTATACTTTGGTTTTTTATTCGTGTCCTCTTACATCAGTATTACTTTCTATATACTCAGCACCATCTCTAGATGATTTCTTATCAATACGATTTACCAGAACAAGAAGCAATAGGGAAGAGACATTTGTTCTACTTTGCGTTTTGGGTCGATTTTTTTTTTCTTTTTCTTATTTGTGTCTTTTCTCGACGTTCTTCTTTTCTCTTTTCTGTGACATGATGAATATAAAAATCTACTGCATCGACTACTGTTGATTTGACGTATGCGATTCATTTACTCCTCGAGGGAGTCATACGAGAGAGAAGCAAACTTCATCTTTGCTACTATTCATTCTGATAAAGTTAACTCTTCTTGATCTAATTGAGTAAGTAAACAGAAGGGTTAAATGTTATTATGAAAGACGAAGAAGAAGAAGAAGAAGAAGAAGGAAAAAGAAATTATAACATACACATATTGTCACAATTTACTTCTTTATTATCATAGTACATGTGTTCTTGGCAATAGAGTGATGATAGAGGAAAAGAATATTGTTCCATATTTCTTATTCTTTTTTTTCTTTTCTTTTTTTTTTCTCATGCCTGTTCGTCTGCTACTGCTGTTGCATTTCCATCGATCGTTGTTTATTGTCTCATAAAATACAAGATAGAAACTGTAGATCATTATTAATAAAGTGTAGTTTGTCTGTCGTCAGACTAACTATTGAATAAAATAATTGAAGATCTTTCCCTTTTTTTTTTTCATCAATAAGATCATGTTCAATTTTTGTACAATATTTATTATTCTTTTCATTAATGAAATCTATGGTAAGATGAAATGTCAAGAAAATATATTAATGTCTTTATTATATATATATATATAATAGAAATCAATGGAAATGTTGAAGCTAAACTTCTTTTACATGAACTTATGAAAGATTATAATAAATATGTTTTGCCAGTTCAATCAGTTAATCATATAGTTAATGTATCATTAGGTTTAAAATTATCACAATTATCTGATATTGATGAACGAAATCAAATAATGACAACAAATGTTTGGCTTGAACATGTAAAATTTTGATTTAATTATTTGTTGTCAAAAACAAAACAAAAAAATTTGTTTTTAAATTTAGGAATGGACTGATTATAAATTAACTTGGGATCCAAGTCAATATGGTGGAATTGAGGTTGTTGAAATTCCATCATCTGATATTTGGGTACCTGATGTTGTTTTATATAATAATGCAGATGGAACATATGAAGTTAATACAATAACTAAAGCTCATGTTGTAAGTAGAATTTCTTTTTGAAAAATATCTTAAAGAATATAATTAATCTTGGTTTTTTTTTTCAAGCATTGGAATGGAACAATAAAATGGAATCCTCCTGTTATTTATAAATCTTATTGTGCTATTGATATTCAATATTATCCATTTGATGAACAAAAATGTACATTAAAATTTGGTACATGGAGTCATAATGGAAATCTAGTATTATTAATTGAATAAGAAAAAAACATGACATTCGTCTTTTCAAATTTAGGTCGATCTTAGTCATAAATCAGGACAAATTGTTTCTGACATTGGAGTAGATCTTACTGATTATTATCCATCAATTGAATGGGATATTCTTTCAGCTGTAAGTATAATTATCAAGAAGATTACTAATTACAAATATAGATGTAAGAGTAGAAAAAAACACTCACGTGCAATCATCTGAATCAAATCCGACTATAGAATCATTTATTCTAGGAAAGATTTATTTATTTTTATATTTCGATAGTTGTCTGAATATGATTAAAATCAATTGTTCATGAATTCTGATGATAGATGAAAGAATATCATAGTTTAATTCAATATAAAATTTAGTGTTATTCACCTTATTGAATATTATAAAATTTTTGATTATAGTTATTTTTCTCAAAACTTTTAAAATAAACAAATTCTGTTTAAAATTATTTTGTAGATTCCGTTCATGTAGAAAGATTCATATGATCGAATGAAATTCATGGATGTATATAAATTAATACTTATAGTCATCTAATTTAAATTTTCTAATGAGAAATTCTATTAAAAATTATTTAAAATAAAAGATCTATTAGATAAAACAAATTTTCTGTGAATGTTTCTAAATTAATTAAATATTTAGTTAAAATTTAAGTTTTTTTTTTTTTTTTGTTTTGATATATACTATATAGCAGATCACGAAATGGACTGTACAATCTGGGTGAGTCTTGTCAGTGAAGATTGGTAGGTCTACATTTCTATCGGATCGCCCGATTCGAAGTTGATTACTTTTTTTCAAGGAAGATTTCTCCCATGAGTTTTGCAAATCTCAACTGATAACAATCTAAAATCTTTATTATGCAAATATTTTTGGAAATTTCGTTTAGTCAATAAATAAAAGCAAAGCATTTATTCGATTTAACGATATTCTTCATCTACATACAAGATTGAGTGTACTATGAGCTTTGTTGATGTGGAACAGTGTTAATTGTGTGTTAAAATTAACAGTATAACTAAAAATAGTAATCGATCTGACTCTTTGAAAATGATCAGCGACCGTTGTACTCGTAAAAGCTTATGTTAGTAAATGATAGTCGTCTTCAAGAAAGAAGCATACCTCTGTATTGCAGTAGATTCAAGAGTCCAATATCCTCCATACAACTAATACTAGCTGTGGCTCCGAACAGCAGGTTAGCCTGACACAGAGTTCTGACGCTCAATTGCTTGAATTTTGTCATACACGCTAACTAACCACAAGAACAGGTGTATATCATAACATAATTAACATGCTATCGGACTAGTGATCCGAGACAAATAGTCATTAGTGAGTTGTCCAGGATCATTTCATGGCTAGTCGTACCGAGGTTTAACAGAATACCTTGTGGGTATATGTTGAACAACGTCTCCACTCAGCCATTGTGGGTAATCATCAAGAAGTTGAAGTTCTTACGAACGCATTGTGCTCTTTCGGTTCAACAAGTAATTTCAACTTATCTTTCATGATGTTTTTTCAAGCATTAAAATTGTTCGATCTTATTTAAGTCATGATCACTATGATAACATACTTCTTACAATGTTCTAATAGATCGAGTCATCAAAAAGTGGCTCAATTGCGAGACCTGTCATATAGAATTAATTTAATAACTGTAATATTTGGCCTTTTTTTTAGACTGCTGTTCGTCATGTTGTTTTATATGATTGTTGTAAAGATGATCCATATTATGATGTAACATTCACTATTGTTATTCGACGTAAACCACTTTTTTATATGGTTAATCTTGTTATTCCATGTGTTAATATTGCATTTCTTACAATTCTTGTTTTTTGTTTACCAAGTAAGTTATAAAAAGAAAGAAAATAATTTTATAATTTAAAATTTTTAGGTGATTGTGGTGAAAAATTAACTTTATCAATATCAATTTTTGTCGCACTTCAAGTGTTTTATCTTCTTTTAATTGATCTTATACCTCCAACATCATTTACAATATCATTACTTGGAACATATTTACTTTTTACATTAGTACTTGTTAATGCATCTATATTTATAACAATAATAACATTAAATATTCATTGGCGTCATCCAAATACTCATCATATGCCTAATTGGGTTAAACGATGGTTTTTTCAAATAATACCGCCATTTGTATTTATGTCAAAACCACATATTGCTAATGCTATATTACAAACAGAAGAAGATCGTGGAAAAGAAGAATTAATTAATAGTGATAGTAATTTAACACATTTAAATAATTATATAAAAACTATATCAATTGATAAATATCCACCGATAATTCAACAAGCAATAAAAGATATTCGATATATTAGTGAAACACAACGTGAAGCACAAAAAGATGATTTAGTTCGTATTGAAATTCTTTTTTTGTCTTTTTGTTAATTTAAAAATAAAAACGAAATTTTTTTTTTCTAGGAAAGAGAAGGTTGGCGATTTATTGCATTGGTTATAGATCGTTGTTTTTTAATAATATTTATTATTTTAACAATAACTGGTTCATTTATCATTCTATTTTCTGCTCCATCTATACGTAATAAATCTGATCCTATAGAACGATTATATTCACGTCATTATAATTCACAATTGAGTTAAGTTTTTCGACGCTTTATTTTTCATTTGTTGTCTGTATTCTATGCCATTTTTTGTTTTGTATATTCAAAATATTTGTTTTACCTCTTGTTTGATCAAAAATAAAAATTTTTTTAAGCCATTTTATTATTTGAAAAGTATTGAAAAATGAAAAGTTTTCAAATAATTAAATCTTATAAAGGATGAAGACACTTTCTATTGAAGTTTTAGCTTTTCTCACTCCTAAAAAATATCCACAACTCTGCTCGTATCATACAAGTA